TATATAAAAAATTAACATATTTTATATTAACTGCATGGAGTTTACAAGTGCTGATGCAGGAAGTTGCATATAATTATTAATTACTAACACGCGTATCTAATAATTCGCATTATATACAGTCATATATATTCTGTCATATATATATAAAGTCATATATATTCTGTATAACAACAAACAATAATTAAAATTTTTCAGAGACATATGAATTTTTTACTTTAGTATAGTAATTTAGCTTACATGGCTTTCAGTTGAAACGGAATCGAAACAAGCCATGAATGACTCGACGAATAATTCCGCAGAGCAGGATAATCCAGTTGTCAACATTTTGGAAGATCCTGATAATCGTGCACGTGGTAATTAAAATTTTAAACATAGCGATTACTGCATATATTTAATTTTTATCTTTCTGCTGTAAATTGTAAAAGTAATGTTCTTATAATGTTCACATTCAACTTGTTCTTAGTTTACTTTTTATAAAATCTCAAGTAAACTTTCATTCTTTTTATTTTATTGTTATTATATATATTATAGATTCTTATATATTCTTATATTCAATTCGACGTAGATCTGGATTAAAAAATTTGTGAAAGGAACAATAAACCTACAATAATTTCTTTTATGTTTTTATCATTTATGTAGATAACAATGGAGATGACGTACAAAACACAGAGGAAATTACGCTACTTCCAGACAATTATGAAGAAGATGATAAAATGCAAGTTGTCACAAAGAAATCTGGAGGCAAAATTATATTAGTATCACGCAATATAACTTTGAAATAAACAATGCTTGCAAAATGCGAGATAATTTAAAATATATATATACATAAATTAAATGATATTCTGATCACATTGTGGATTATAAACTTTTGACTATGCATTGCATGTAAAATATTGTGCTCAATTGTATCATACACACATTTAATGCACATTTAATTGTTTATGATAGAAATATTTTTTATATATTAAAAATATGTACTTTTTAAATAATTTTTTTCTATGATACTGAAGAAAGAAAAGATACTGATGAAATTATTAATTGTAAGTAATGTACGGATGTGCCAAAATTAGTTGGTCAATTTTTATATACACATATTTGAGGCCATATGTGAAATCTCTATGTAATGAGCGAATACTGTGATCATTGAAAGATCTGAAAATGAATGCCAATAATTATGCCAATAATTAATAATTTTTAGACAAAATATGTGCAATTTTAATTTTTTTTATATGGCATGTTTTATTATATGTGTATGACTTAAAAAAAGTAATAAAATTGTGTGCATAACATTGTAAATGTTTTACATAAAAATATAAAGATAAGAAAAGTTTTTATTTACGTAAATATCTTTGTTTAAATTATTCTTTATCAATTTTATTGCAGTCTTATTGGATGGATATAATAAATGATAAATTTCGATATAAAAATATTGTTACGGTTTTTATTAAAGATGGAAACAGCTCAAGTTTATGACAAATTTTTAATAATGAAAATTAGGCATGATATTGATTAATTATTTTAAAATTGCATTTTTTTACATTCCTTATATCTTATATCTTAAAAAAATTATTTTATATCCATGATGCAAAATATATATCAGTTTTATATCCTTGTTAGCATATATCCAAAATATATTCAGCTTACATAAAATTCACAATTTCACGATATTATTGCAAAATTTCTACGGTTTATACTTATGCGATATTTATATGTATCATTGTGTAGTATAGCATCAAGTTTATCATGCATAAAAAATTACATGTATTAGTCTGCAGTTTCTCTTTCTCAATATTTACATATTATTAAATTTTTGTAAAAATGAAATAAAAATATAACGTGATCGTTGATTATCATATTGTCCTCGTAAATTATAAATTATTGTTCTCTACATACTACTCTGTCACTACTTTATTTTCCATTATGTTCTCTTATCGTGTACGAAATCCGTAATTTACGTCGTATTACGTATGAGACTTAATCTCTCTAATAGCTAATTGATAAATGTCGTGATATATAATGTAATAATGTTACTTGTATCTTTAATGATCTAACAATTTTTCTTCCTATTTTTTTTTCTTTTATATATATAGTTATATATATAGTGATGATAAGACGATGACATAATGATATATATGATGGCCATACTTTATCTCATTAATAGTTACTTCTATTTTTTATATCTTTAATTCTAAGACAATAATTATGATATTCCTCTTTATTGATATGAATGCACGAATATTCTATGTTTCAATGCCGCACAAATTGTAAGTTTCTCGAAACATGCAGTACACACAAATACATACGCGCGCACGCGTATGTCTATGTGTTAATGTAATGAGTATGTGCATATACATACGTTTATTTTAATCAATGTAATTATTCTTTATACCAATTATATATTGCAAACTCATCATCATAAATGCTGTCAATAATACTTGTATTTGCTGCTACAAATAGTCACATCTGCTGCTATGACTTTAAAATAAATTATAAGTGTTACATGTACTAATAATTTATTTTAATAACATAATAAGCATGTTAATAACATAATATTTATGATGTATGATTATGTGTATATATATATATATGTGCTTGCAATAATTTGCAATAACTGCCATTAAACATAGAAAATGTTAAATTATACAAACATAATATTAAATAAATATTATACAAATTTAATATTTCTCATTTAACAATATGTAATGTTTTATATATATATATATATATAATAATACACATATATACATTCACGGTATATACTAGCTGTCATATTAATCGTAATGCATAACAACAAATTCGAGAATTACATTGGAAAATTGTGCGTTAATCGATGGTTATTTATAATTAAAATAATAT